GTTGAGGAAAAAAAAAAAAGTAATAAACATCACTCTGGATTAGCAGGGATGTAGTGTATTTGTTTGAAGAAGCACAAGGCAAGGGGGAAACCATACTTTTAATGCTCTGCAAGGGGTGATGAGGAGCTGGACCACCTGGATGCTCCGCTTCCCACCCCAAGTGAGATCAAGGTTTGCTTCACCAAGGCCTCAGCTGAAAGACTTAGGATAAAAAGCAGCTTCAGCAGGTGGGTTAACTCCCCACGAGAAAAAATCCAGCCCCCCAAGGAAAACAAACAAACAAAAAAACCCCAAAGCTTTCTATATCACCTTACATCCATACAGGTTTTCACCTGCTCTCTCTGTTTGGGGCTTTCATCTTTCTGAGCCAAAATGTGCAGTTTTCTGCTCTCTGTCAGGAGAGGTGAATATTTAAAAAAAAAGAAAAAAAGGAACTTTTCTCATCTTAATGCCTGTGGGTGGATTTAAGGACTTTTGTAACCCTTTCTTGCACTGCATGAGTACAGAGAGCGGTTTCGTTCCTCAGATGAGTGTTTTTAGTGGCATGGGAGTTTAGTGTTAAATGTGATGTGAGGATGGGTGGAAGCAAGAGGAGTGTATCTGTTTTAAAGCCTTGTTTAAAAAAAGGGGGGGGATATTTCTTGTGCTACAACTTGGGGTGAAACTAATTTCTGAAAGAACTTAGGAAGAAAATTAAAAGAAAATAGTATTTGCTTCCCTGAAAACTCATTTCACCAGAAATCGCAGTGAAAACTGTGCCGTGTCCCATCCTCCTCACTTCTTCCCTAGTAAGATTAATGCCTTTATGCCAATATTGTCACCCCGTGCAGCAGAGAGGGGCTTTTTGATGATGCTTCTGTGAAAGCATCTCCTTGAAGTCTGTATCCACAGGGCAGAAAAATCATCTCAGGAACACCATAGCATAGTTGGAAGAGTGATTTAATTTTCTCTTCAAATCATTGAAGCCATCTGCATTTTTACAGCCCATGTAATTTCAGGGCTGGGGTAGGGCTATGGGGTTCTGGAATGTTGCTTTATTTTTTTTAGCCGAATGCAACAGAGATGCAAGGTTTGTAACAAGCCAGTGGTTAAGAGTCCAGAAAGGGCTTCCAAAAAATTCAATAATTAGGCAAATTAATAGCAAATTGGCCCATAAATGGATATTGAAGGGAATAAGACCTGTAAAACCTGGCATACCACAGTTGTAGCTGTCGGGAGGAATACGTGAAGGAGTGGACCGCAGGCACCAATCCGGCCCGCGCAGACCCCTTAAATACGGTCTCCTGCCACTGCGGAGGCTCAAACCCCACCAAGATACGTGCTGGTTTTTTTATTCTGTCTTCCTTTAGACCCTCGAAAGGTAAAGCTTCGGAGGGGATATCACCTGCTCCTTTCCACATCTCTGCTAACCTGGGCAAGGCACCCAGTTCAAGGGCTGAGCAGGGCACGCACTGTACCCTCGTGCCCTGCGTAGGGCTGCACTGCCCATATAGCAGCGATGATGGGGTTGTGCTTCTCTACGCTCTGCCAGGGCTGAAGCCGCTCTTCCATGGGCTGGGCATGATACAGGATTTCATTTGAAGGAGAAATGAAGGGGAAGGGTTATACGTGCTGCCAGCAACCAGTCATTAGGGGAGGCTGCTTTACAATGCTCTGGGGTTTTTTTATTGTTATAAATAACAATATTTAACTTTACAGAGCTTTATTGTTAGCTCTTCCAGCCCTGTAACCAGGAAGAGTGAGTAAACAAGAGGTGCTAAACCTCCTCGCCCATCAAAACCTGCTTCTTCTATTAGCTCTACTCTTTGTTTAGAATAGGGTTTTGGTTTTTTTCTCTCTCTCTTTTTTTTTTTCCCAGAAATAATTTCATTAGAGAGGAGATGGTTCAGGGAAGGACATACTGAGATGCCTTTTACTACAGGTGTTCCTGGATTGTGTGTCATGTGCTGAAATAACATTTTTCTCCACTTCTCTCTGGATCAGAGCATGAGATCCAGATCCAGACACACCAGCCAGTTCAAAGTCAAGGGCTTGCCACATCCCCTCTTTCCAAGTCTGATCAATATATGTCCAACTTCCTATACCACCCCCATCCCCTTTTTTTTTTTTTGAGTTTGCAAGTGTAAATTCAGACATTTCTGAAATACAGAGCATCCACTGGTGGGGGTATGAATACGGGAGGGACTGTGGTGATGCTGCCTATTTATTCCTCGGGGCATCCCAGTGCTCCCACCCACCTTCTAGGTGCCTTTGCCCTGTACTGGGGGCACAGACAGCTTTTGCTTCTGCCTCACTGTGACCACATTTACAGGTCAGGGCTCAGGTACTATTTTTCCGCATTTCTGAGCTGCTGTTGGCACTAGATGAGTATTTTGATTTCCCAGGTTGCTGAAGACCTAAGACGGGTTCAGGTTCTGGGGGCTGAATGATGCACAGGGCCAAGGGAAGACTGAAAATCTCTCCCTTAAAGAAGTGGGGTTTTAAGTCTTAACAGACATGGGGTCATATTGTCACAATTTATTTTTTTCCTGAGGGATGTTACTAAATCAAATTTCTTGGTGCTCTGCTTGAAGAACAAACCCTGAAAGTTCAAATGAGGCAGAAATGGGTAGAGATCCTGGGTTGTGGTAAAAGGAAAGGGGGGAAAAACCCCACAATACCATTGCTTTTGTGAAACCCAGCCATGAAACTAATTATTCTGGAGATCTGCTGTGTTAGCATCCATTCTGCTAACGTCATGTTAATGGTGCTGAGCTCCACGTCCACCCAAGTGCGCTTGCGAGTGGGCAAGGTTTGATAAAATGTGAGTCTGACCCAAAAAAGATGCATAATTGGTATTTAATGCACTGCCTTCAAAGGTGTCAAAGTTGTATTGGTCTATGTGGGAAGGAGAGGGTGCTGTAACTGTATGGAGAAAAAAATCTAAGCCTAATGACACTATTTTATATGTACTGGTATAAAATATGCCATTGTTAATGTCAGATCTGAACTAATCTAAACAGTTACTGATGCTTTTGTTCATACCCAGGGACCTTCATTGCTCCAGTGCCATTGACTATGACTGGGCATAATCATTATTTTTAAGTATGTTATGAAATAGTAATTTTTTTAAAAAGTATCTATTTTTAAAAAGTATTTTAAAATGTGTATTCTTAAAAAATTTTTGAAGCCTTGCACAACGATTAAAGCACTAAACTGAAGCCTTTGTCATGAACTCTTTCGGGGGCTGCTTCAAACCCCACCAGCTCATGCTGCAACCCCTTTAAAAGCTTTTCCAGAGCGCAGACCCGGGATGGCGAGACTTAAAACACGTGCCATCCAGCAGTGTCACCACGCAACATCGCTGTGACCTGTGGATAATAGCTTATGGCATCTGCAGCTCTGGCTATACCAGTTTTCCTTGGTTGCTGCAAATAGTTTGATGGGCACAAACGCCCCGGTGCATTTAGGTGGTTTAAGGACCGTCCGTGTTTTATTCTCTGGTTTGGGGCAGCTTTGGCTGTTCTCAGCCTGCCTGGCTGCCACCCAGCCCCTGCATTGAACAGAGCTGGAGGGAAGCTGGGGATGATCCCTCGCCCGTGCAAAAGGAAGGCTCCTTTTTTAATCATTTCCCTCTACGTGGGGCTGTGTGCTCCCTCCTTTGCATTTTTCTGTAGCTGGGGGCTTGGTTCAGCACCAGCTGGTATTTGCAGACTCCTGAGAGAGCTGCAGTTTGGGTTTGTATTCAGTAATCCCATGTACCGGTGCAATCCCCCGAGGTCCCTAAATAGGCAGCGTTAACGCTAGAGGCACCAAACACTAGCGAGCAGGTTGCATTTTAAAACTAAGACGTGGCACTGCTGGAGCATCCCTGCAAATGGGACACGGTGCCCTTGGAACCACCCAGGGATGCGCTGCTTTGCAGTCAGGTTTGGACTTCGGGTACAAAGCACTTTTGAGTTGTACAGCGAAGACTCCAGCATGGTTTTGCATCTCAGACACCTTCCTCAGACTGCAGGGAGGCTGAGGGCAGCTTGCCAGGTAGGCACAGGACAGAGTTGCCGGCACTGCACTTGCTGCCCACCAGCCCCATGCTGCACGACGTGGCCCCCACTCTGGCTCCAGGCTTATTTACAACCACTTGCAATAGGTGGACAGTATTAGAAGCTAAAGAGGGGTGGGGGAAAAAAAAAAACAAACATGCTTGCAGCTTTCCCTCCCTCCAAGCCATCCCGAAAGGGCGAAAACTCATAGTCACAGGCTGCAAAATGAAGTAAAAAATAAGTCTTTATTGCGCATGGAGCAAAGATTGCGCTGATGGAGCAGCTGAGATCACTGTGCTCCTCAGCACCCGTTGCCGCGGTCCAGCACAGCCCCTCTGGCGATCCTTCACTCCCTCCTCAACCCACGGAAAAACCAGGACTGCCGCCTGCCCTTCCCAGAGCCCCAGCACCCATCCTTGGCCCTGCGTCTGGTGGCCAGAGGGTATCCGGTGGCCACCACGGCACATCGTAATTCCTAAAAAGCAGCGGAATAAATAGTGATAACCAAGCAACCTTTCCCGTGGGGTGCTGGTGATGAGCCCCCCCCCCCACCCCTTTGGGCATTTCCACCCCAGACTGCGTCTCCCCTCCCATGGGGCAGGGAGGGAGCACAGCCGCCATGCACAGGCAGAAACGTGCAGGCAGGGATGCGCAGGCGGCTCGGGCTGATTTTTAAAGAATGGTTTATTCGCTCGCAAACAGACGGTCGCATCCTTTTGACCTAGATTTAAAAAAAAAAAACCCAGTGTGTACAAAGTCACAGTCACGGCTTGAAGAGCACAAGGGAGCCCCCTCGGAGGAAAAAAAAAAAAAAAAAAGTCATGAAAAGTCCCGGCGTTATGTACAGCTAAGTGCCAGCTCGAGTATTCACAACACAGTAACGTACTGCAATTAGTCGCTTAAAAAGTAGTTCCCTTGAGAAACAACCTTCCGCTCCGGCGAGGCCGGAGTCCGTCCCGTCCATCCGTCTGGCGATGCTCAGTGCCGCTGGCAGGTGTGCAGGCGGGAGGCATCGGCGGGGCCGTGCTCTCGCTGGAGGCGGCACGCCAGCCCCTCGGCGCACTGGCACCGCTGGAAGATCTCCAGGCCGTGGGTGCCTTTCCGCCGGTGCCGGGTACACACCTGCCCTTCCCGCAGCACCGGCTTGCAGATTTTGGACCAGAAGTGACGGGCGCAGCACAGCCCGGCTGCGCAGTCCGACGAGCGCAGGCAGAAGTCCCCCTCCTCACCTGCGTGGGGACAGAGGGCGTGGGTTCAGGCCGGGATGCTCCCACGGGGGACGGTGGGGCAGGGTGGGCATCCCGGATTGACCCCATAGGAGACAGCGGGGCAGGGTGGGCATCCCAGACCAACCCCCGTGGTGGACCGGGGGTCAGGGTGGGCATGCCCGACCGACCCCACGGGTGCCAGTGGGGCAGCCCCACAGGGGACAGCGGGCTCGCAGCACCGGGGATCCCCTTACCTTTGGCAGTGGGGAGCCAGGCGGGAGCGGGCGTCCGTCGGGGCAGAGCTTCGGCGCCCACCTCGTCCATCTCGGTGGCTCCGTGGACAGGCTCCGGGGGGGTGCAGAGCCCTGCGGGAGGCAGCAGGGCGGCTGTCAGCCACGGGTGGGACCCCGACACC